CAAATAATTACCTGATGGTAACAACAGGGAACAACGACTCAGAAAATGGTATATCTGTTAGGCGTGCCCTAATTATAATAAATTCTTAGGAGGTTGAACTGGGTATCCGGGAACGTACTTGTTAAATTACTAAGCAGGATGCTGCTCTCTGAGTCGTAAGAGTGTTCAGCCAACGACTACTACTCTTACTACTACGACCGCCACTACTACATTTATTTAAAGTTGAGTTTCCTGATCATATATTAGGAAATTCAGTCATTGACAACATTCTTCGTCCAGTATCAATTCATATCGTCCTTTTTCTTCTGCTATTTATTTCCAAGTGAAGAGTAGGCCCTCAAATACCAAGTCACACCAAGTCGTCTTCTCCCTTGTTATTGCTATCGCCACAACTTACCCCACGTCCTTTCCAACTTTGTAACTTCACTCACCGTTGACTGGGCTGATAAAAATGGCGGGGGGGGGTGTGGGGGGGGGAGGGGGGGGAGGGAGTGTGTCTTTTATTTTATGCCCCTGTGGTTTCTAATGTAAAGCCCATCTAGTTTTATAATTCTAAGGAATTCTCAGCCTAAGTCCTACACAAAGCCAAAGTCTTTTCTCCACCTCTTCATTTACTGGAATTGCTCCAGTTCTTTCCCAAAGCTCCAGTTCTTTCTCAAAGCTCCAGTTCTTTACCAAAGTTCCAATTCTTTCCCAAAGCTCCAGTTCTTTCTCAAAGTTCAAGTTCTTTCCCAAAGCTCAAGTTCTTTCCAAAAGCTCCAGTTCTTTCCCAAAGCTCCAGTTCTTTCCGAAAGCTCCAGTTCTTTCCAAAAGCTCCAATTCTTTCCCAAAGCTCCAGTTCTTTCCGAAAGCACCAGTTTTTTCCTAAAGCTCCAGTTCTTTCTCAAAGTTCAAGTTCTTTCCCAAAGCTTCAGTTTTTTCTCAAAGCTCTAGTTCTTTCCCAAAGCTCCAATTCTTTCCCAAAGCTCCAGTCCTTTCTCAAAGTTCAAGTTCTTTCCCAAAGCTCAAGTTCTTTCCAAAAGCTCCAGTTCTTTCCCAAAGCTCCAGTTCTTTCCGAAAGCTCCAGTTTTTTCCTAAAGCTCCAGTTCTTTCCCAAAGCTCGAGTACCGATTGATCATTACAATTATGGACCAAGTACCCTTAACAATGCTTGTCAAGAGTGAATCATCCTTGGATGCATCCTTGTGGGGGTTCCGGGGTCCAATTGGTGAGGGAGGGGAAAATAAACCCACTGCCCCTTCAACAAGCATGTCGTAAAAGTCGACTATTTAGGGTGTTTCCCTATAAAGACAGTATATCTGTTTGAGAGACGAGTAGCAAACAGTCTTTGAAAAACGCCAGGTCTGTAAAACAGATGTATACGCAGATCGCAAGTTTTGGATCAAGACTAACGTCCAGAAGTGGACGAACAAAGTGGAAATTTCCACCGGAGTTTAGGGTGAACGCAAAGAAGAAGTTATTTAATCTCGGGAAGTCTGTACAATTTGTTTATAAAGAACAGGTACATATTATTTACTTTTAAAAACTGTCTTTATCGCAATAAAAGGCTGTAAAGGAATTTTTAGCTTTGCCTCGATAGATGATAGAATCTCTAACCTTTCTTACAGAGAGTGGAACCGGGGTCTCTCGCATGTCAGCCCTTCGTTCTATTGCCTTGAAAAGTCGCTCCCCGAGTCTATATTATTTGCTTTTCTAATTACTGTGGTGGCATAACTTGGTTATCATAATTATTCCGAAAGGAAACCGTATCATTTACATACTTTCCCCACAGGTTTATTTCATGGTCTAACTTGGTTCTTTCAAACTGTTGCTTTTTTACAGAAGAGAAAGTTACTGACAGTGGTCAGCCGCCAAGTCCAGCAGCAACAGACGTTTCTGTCCAGAAGGACACAACCACCCCCAAAGAAGCCAACATTAGCAGGTCAAAGGAGGCCAAGGGCGGTCAAAAGATGAGAGAAATCGCCAGTTTAATTCTTGCAGGTAAGAGGCACGTGAGGGTTTTATTTCTGTCATGTATTCAAGATACTTTTTGTGTGTGTTTGTGTCTTTGAGAGAGAGAGAGAGAGAGAGAGAGAGAGAGAGAGAGAGAGAGAAAGAGAGAGAGAGAGAGAGAAAGAGAGAGAGAAAGACAAAGAGAGAAATAGAGAGAGAGAGAGAGAAAAATAGAGATAGAGAAAGACAGAGAGAGAAAGAGAGAGAAAGAGAGAGAGAGAAAGAGAGAGAGAAAAAAAATAAGAGAGAGAGAGAGAGAGAGAGAGAGAGAGAGAGAGAGAGAGAGAGAGAGAGAGAGAGAGAGAGATGTTAATTGCTGGGTTTGACAGGTTTCATGTCGCTTAAGTGAGTGGTTGGTTGATAGTTTATTTGCTGAATAGTTGGATAGTTGGTTTGTAAGACGGTTTGTTGCTAGCTTTCGTTTTCAAACTGTTGCATACACAGTTGGCTTGTTGAATAGTTTTTTGGCTAGACTTTTGGACTATAGGATGGTTTGACAGCCAAACAGTTGGTTTGTTGGATGGTTGGTTAGACCGATGGTTTGGTTGGTTTTTTTTTTTTTTTTAAGGGGGGGGGGGGGGGGGGCATTGAGTGTTGGACAGATAGTTGGTTTCTTGTATGATTTTTTGGCTAGATGGTTTGTTAGAAGGTTGTTTTGGTAGCTGATAGTTAGTCACGTTGTTGAATAGTTGACTGGGTAGATAGCTGGTTTCTTGGATAGGTAGCTTGTTTGTTGGATGACTGATGTGATTTACTTCAGCTTTCCATTTCGTGTTACACAGTTATCCTCTAACCTCTGCATCATTTCTCTAATTCTGTGAGTGCCCATAGGTACCTGGGAAGCTATTTCTCATTATGGTAACAAAACCACATTAGTTTCTGCACTGTCAGTCCAAAAAACAGCTGCTGTTCTGTGGATCAAGGCTTCCACCTTTGACCTGTCCTTCAACTTTGATTACACAACACCCAGAACTTCTGCATTACATCGGCATCACGTCCCAAACACTAGATCAATTAATATATACCCACCCGGTGTCAACAGTCGTGACCTCAAAAGCAAACAATCGTCACTCGGCACGGCATGACGCGTGCAGGTGTAATAATCTCTGGACGAGCATCCGTGATAAGGATAATACATACATACCAGTGTAGTGTCAGTTTTCTATGATTTCTAGGGCATTGTTTGGGTGAGGTTGGCTTGGGGATGGGTGGAAAGTGGGTGGGGTTAAAAGACACAGTAACCCTTAAAAAGCTTGTCGTAAAACGCGACTAATTAAATGATTGCTGAAATCGATGGTATTGAATTGGAAGATAAAAAATTCGCATCGCAAGTTTAAATCATATTAAATCGCGCCAAAAAAAAGGGGGTGGAGGAAAAGATCATGATGATGATGCTGATAATGAAGAAGAAGAAGAAGAAGAAGAAGAAGAAGAAGAAAAAAGAAGAAGAAGAAGAAGAAGAAGAAGAAGAAGAAGAAGAAGAAGAAGAAGAAGAAGAAGAAGAAGAAGAAGAAGAAGAAGATAAATATCAAGGGCTAAAGATGCCCCAATTGCTGGTCAATTCAATCTTCAGCAAGCACATAAAGTGACACAGCGGGTTTTGTTTTAATTAGGGCGCACATTTGGATCTGCGTATCCTCAACATTGGTTGAGGTGAGGTGGGGTGGGTGGCATGTAGGTTGCGGGTTGTGTCATAAGTAAATATATCAATACTGAACAGATGCTTACTGGCACCGCTAAGGACAGGTGTACTGTGTGCATGAATTAAGAAGTCGTGCCCAGCCTTGTTTGAACTTTTGGGTAGTAGCCAGGGCCCGGGGGACGTGACACGTCATTGTGTGTTTGCTACCTAGAAGAGATAAAGGGGAACTAACAACGAACTCGGGCCCAGCCACACACTAGGTGACCTGTCAATGACGCTCACTGAAGCTGATCTACGTCAAAGATGTACTGTTGTCGTCAGAAAGCTTTCTGCATTCCGTGTTAATCATTGTTGTGTGAGCAGCGGCCGCCGAAATTGCGTTTAAACTCGTAGTCAGAATTAGTGGTTGCTAGTGCGTTTATGATAGCCATGGGCCAATGCAAAATGTTAAGAAGCCTGAGACCACGGAGCGTAGAATGGACTGTCTCGTGGGACCCAGGCTTAGTGTGTGGTGGGGGGGGGGGGGGGGGGAATTAGAGCCGGTAGTACATGTTATGGGGTCGTTAAAAGCGCTCACATTTTGTAATATAGAGGACGCGTGGTCGTCGGTAAAACCGTTGACACAATACAACGTCGCACTAACCTGACATCCCTGCGACTTAGACTTACCCGACTGAAAGGTTAAGATGCAACAGGCATTATTGTTGTTTTTATTATTATTAGAACATGCTGTCTCTTATCTCTGAGTGAAGCAGAGCTCACCTACCACCAGGTAACGCACTGCCCCTTCCACCTTCCATTGCAGCTCACCTCTGTCCTCGCCAGAATCATTAGGTCTCTAATTCCATACTCTATTATAGTGTTGTTTCTTCGATCACATGGGCTCCAAAGGCACCCTAGTGGTGAAACTTTTAGCTTTCCTTAATGTGTATTTTTATCCAGCATCTTTACCTCACCTTTTGATTTTCAGGAATTTGTTTCAGTCTCTCCAGATGAGTCACTCCCCCCCCCCCCGCCCACACACACACACACACGCACACACACAATGTAAAATTGTAATTGTAAAAAAGTAGTTACCTTTTTGTCTTTTTTTTTTAATCACACCTCCTCATTTTTCAGCTCCTTAGATGTTTCGTTTCAGAACAGCACGTCCTGTCCTTATTTTCTTCTTTTCGTTTTCTGGTTCCATGCTTACCTTGTTAATTGCAAATGAGTTAGCTGTTGTTTGCTTTTATAAATACTCTGGCTGGAATTACGTTTTCGATTATATTTGTGCGTTTGGTTTTCTTTCCTTCAAATGAGTTTCCTAGTCATAGTGTGTGTATATTAGTTTCTTTCAATAATTATGTGTATGTTGTATCTGCAGGCAGTGGTCAAGTGCAGCTGTGGCAATTTTTGCTAGAACTTCTAACGGACAGCAGCAACGACAACTGCATCAAATGGGTGGGTAACAAGGGCGAGTTCCGAATGGTGGATCCAGAGGAGGTCGCCAGGAGATGGGGCAAAAGGAAGAACAAGGTGAGTGTCCGGAATTCAAAAGTGATTGTGTTTAGGTTTTAGGTTTATATGACGGATAAACATCATAACACAAGGGGTAATACATAAGTGCCCCCTTCTACTTCTGACTCAAGTCTGAGTCCGAAGAATCTCAGTGCAGTGCACGTACTCAATAGCACCGGCGAGGATTCTGAAATACTTTTGAGTAGATTTTTATGCCAAAATTTTCTTACGTGCGCAACCATACACACGAGCGTCCGATCTTACTACCCAAAGAACAGAAAAAATTACTGGAAGTCGACGTGAGAAAAAAAAATCCTAGCCTTCACGGGGGCCTGATCCCGGGACCTCCAGCACTCAAGGCGGACGCCATGCCTCAGGACTGTGAGTCGACGAGGTTAGGTTCCATCGTGAGAAGCAATTCATACACCGTAAGCCATGAAATGTTTTTACGCTGTAGACAATTAAGTTAGTTGCGTATCCTTTGCAGGACGTTGCATAACCAACCACGGCATTTTTTGGGCTGCTTTTGATCTCTTCCACTTCTTTTTCTTTTTATTCTATTTCTTAGCGTTTACCAGCTGTAAACTCCTGCGAAAAGTTCTCCTTGTTGGTCCATTCCTGCGTTTTGGTATTGATTTAGAACTTAAGATTTGCATCCACATCCATTTTCTTTGCATGTGGATCAGTGCATTTTTTCCACTCAGGTAAATGCACTTTGATTTGAACTAAACACCGTTAATTTGTCGCCTCCTACGACATGCTTTTTAGGAGGGCAATGGGACTACTTTTTTTAGTTGCCCACAGTTGAGCTCCTGAACTCAGACGCGGAGCGTTTTTCTTTCTGGGAACCGGGTTCAAACAGTCAGTAAAGTGACGGAAATGTATTTCCGCTGTAGGTTAGTTGCGTATCCTTTACAGGACGTTGCAGAACCAAGCCCAACAGCCCCTGGATGTTGTGTGGTTTCTCTAGGCAAATTTACGTCCAGTAGTTTGCCATTGTTTCTGGACGGTCGGCCCCTTGATACCACTGTCGAAACTAACGCAAGGCGTATGGCCCGCAGCTGGGATCGAACCCGGCACCCCGGCATTACGAAGCGTTCGCATCGACCCTAGCCACAAGGCTGACATTTCCGCTGTAGATTAAAAAAAAAAAAAAACCTAAACCTGTTCGTGGCCTGAAAACTTCAGGCTTAGGACTTTCCCGTGCTAAAAATTGGGCGGTTAATATAGACTATTCATATTTAATTAAATTTACTTGGGGCCAATATCAGCCACTGCCGAAAACAATTTTTTTAAAAACCACTTTTGATATAGGCGGCTGGAAGGTGGGGGGGGGGGGGTGGGTGGGGGGAGGGGGGGTGGGGGGGGGGAAGTGCCCGGTCTTAGAGCCTGAGAATTTAGGGCTACATGGCTAGATCTGTCGCCACTGATTGTGCAGGTTAGGATGTTATGTTTGCCCACACAGAGACCAAATCTTGGCTTTCTTAACCGCTAGGCCGGCCGTCCTTAACAATAAGAGCACTCGGGTCATTTCCGCACTTGCTCCGTTCTCATCTTCAGCAGGAAGCGAAGAGTTCTAGTGTGGCTGGTACCAGTATCAGTTCAATTATATATCCGCCTTGTCTTTCCTCTCAGTGCTGAATGTCAACTACATGTACAGGTCAGCCCATGCCGCTCCATTCTTTCCACGCGGTAATGATCTCTCTCTCTCTCTCTCTCTCTCTCTCTCTCTCTCTCTCTCTCTCTCTCTCTCTCTCTTTCTGTCTGTCTGTCTGTCTGTCTGTCTGTCTGTCTGTCTGTCTGTCTGTCTGTCTGTCTGTCTCTCTCTCTCTCTCTCTCTCTCTTTCTGTCTGTCTGTCTGTCTGTCTGTCTGTCTGTCTGTCTGTCTGTCTGTCTGTCTGTCTGTCTGTCTGTCTGTCTGTCTGTCTGTCTCTCTCTCTCTCTCTCTCTCTCTCTCTCTCTCTCTCTCTCTCTCTCTCTCTCTTTTGCGCCTCAGCATTGTTCACTTGCTCCTAGGCGTCTTGACCACATTTAGCTTGTCATGCACCAAGTCACCACTAGTGGTTCAGTGCCATCCAATTTGTCTTTATTTTCATGTCCAACACACCTGAATATTTACGTATTCCATTGTTGCATCGTCTCAACACCTGACGTTACAATGGATGTGTGCATCCTATTCTATATTTGATAATATATTTCGGTGAAGCCCCACGATTCAACTCTCTTTCCCCGGTCTAACTCTCCTGTCACGGTCTAACTCTCCTGCCACCGTCTAACTCTCCTGCCACGGTCTAACGCTTCTGCCACCGTCTAACTCCTTCCACGGTCTAACTCTCTTGCCACTGTCTAACTCTCCTGCCACCGTCTAACTCTTCTTTCACGGTCTAACTCTCTTGCCACTGTCTAACTCTCCTGCCACCGTCTAACTCTTCTTTCACGGTCTAACTCTCCTGCCACCGTCTAACTCTTCTTTCACGGTCTAACTCTCCTGCCACTGTCTAAAAGCTGCTAGTGAGTTTTCGTATTTCTAAACCGCTCGCCGTGAAATCTTACTTTGGTACGTCATAAATTGTTAAACGCGTTCATCGACCTCGAAGCAACAGTGCAACGCTACCTTTTATGTTAATATAAATTCTGCAAAGATCACATGTCGAGATCAGCAACAGTCATACGGTCCCTTACAGAATGTGGCACTCGTCACGGCTCGTCTGGAAATCTCTCTTTCTCCAGTCAATTCTCCAGCCCTATGTGCTTTCATAGCCCATGCAACTTCAACTCTTGTGTCCACCTTCGCAGAGGTCTGGCTTTTCCTCGCTTTCCGTAAACTCTACCCTCCATTGCGGTCATCTCCAGGCCACCGTGATACTTAACATTCTCAAAATACCTGGTGAGATTCCATAAGGTGTTTCACTTTTAATCTGTATAATTTCTGTATGTTCAAGTGGTCTGCATAGCCTGTGATGTTTTCTGAAAGTTTTATTGTTCTAAATAGCTTATAGAATTCAATTTGGTTGTATTGTTCTAAATAGCTTGTGATCAATAGGATGTCTTGTTTTATACAGCTTGCAATGCTCTATGTATGTTTTATAGTTCTACACAACATTGTATGTTCTACATGCTTTTTATTATTCTACAAACCTGTGATATTCTCTGTGTGTTATATTGTTCTATAGTGTAGATCTATACTATCTATAACGTATCTTATTGACTGTACCAATGTGTCCACTCCACAGCCTAACATGAACTACGATAAGGTCAGCCGTGCCATGAGGTACTACTACGACAAAATGATTCTCACCAAGGTCAACGGAAAACGCTACACCTACAGCTTCAACTTCCGGGTCATCATGAGAGCCCAGCAGCACCACCACAACCCCACCGACCCTGCAGAGTTCGCCGAACTGTTAACTCTGTTAAATACGCTACCGAGCTCCACCGGAGTTTCACGAAGCCAGCACAGGAGCACACATTTTGATGAAATCAGGCCCGGATCAAACAACGTCAGCAACCGTATGCTTTCCGGTGAAAGTAATCATTCAAAACAACACCTTCCTTCCTCAAATGTACAATTTTTGGACAGGTATGGTCCAGTTCAAAATGGTATAAAACACGAGGAACATTTAACTAAGTATCAGTGCGCCTCACTAATCTCAGTGAATGAAGACCATAAACAAAATAAAACTCAGTCTTTCAACTTTAATTCTAATGGCTCAAGCAACTTGGTAGGAATAGGAGAGCGGTGTGCGATGATGGCTGATTGTTCCCCAGTTGTTGATAACATAGACGTATTATCCAATAATCTTGGCTTTCATGAAGTTCCACAGCAAGTGATGCATAGCAGAAATAACAGTCATGGGGTGGGAACTACAAGTCCGGATCTGCAAGGTTGTACTAATGTCTCCAGCAGCTGTTGCTTTTACTCAAGCGAAAACTTGGCCTCGCAGCAAGGGGTGCAAGCTGTTACTAGGCTCTGTACAGCCTCGCCTTCGGACTTTAGTGCGCCAGCATGTGCTTACGAAATGAGCTCTCTGACACCAAGCGTGAAAAGGAAACTCCGGGCTTCAGGGAATGGACTGAATTCTCCAGTAAGCCCAGTGGATTTACCATTCTCATCAGACCATAGAGGTTCCGCGCCTTATCACCGCTTGAGGTCAAATTCTGACAGCTTTAACCGGCAAGCCTTACAGACTAGACAACGCAATCTTCCCTCAGAGCCGTGTTACCAGCTGAACAATGGCATCGAGGAACTTTTCTCGCAGGAAGGTAAGACATTCCACACAAATCCTCACGGTTCCCGCCAAGACAAGCCTCGAGCCTCACCCAATGATTACTTTTATCAAGAACTTTACAATGAGGCAGCTCAATTCTTTCAATCCGAGCAGCAAGAGAAGGTGAGACTATCGCATGACGTGTACAGAGTTGAGCAGGAAGAGTTCGTCCCGCCACTGGCTGGCGTGAAGAAGCAGCCACCAGAAGATATAGGACATCAAGACTTGCTACCACATAACCCGCAGCCCCAACAGGTATCACATATGTTCCAGCTTGACCCAAGCGAGATGCAGTTTCAGCACTGGCATATACAGTCGCATTGAAATCAGTGTAATAAGTATTAGTTCTAGCAAGTAAATTCTAAACAAGAAATTCAAACGCACTGGTGGTATCACCATGAGTAGAAGAACAGAAGCATCAACATTACCAAGTTACAGAAGGAGACCATCACAACCATAATCATCGCATACCGTGTTTATAATCGATGTTCGATTAGTGATGTAATCAACAAAATGCAGTCTACCTATACTTCCAATGACAACTCCAAGGTCCCATTTTAGGCTCGGCCAACCGAGAGTACTAGGTCAGTATTAAAATATTTACTATTGCCGATTCGAACCCAATACCATTGGGCTGGTTAGTTGTGTATCCTTTACAGGACGTTGCAGAACCAACCTCAACAACCCCTGGCTGTTAGGTGGTTTTCTAGGCAAATTTACGTCTAGTAGTTTGCCATTGCCCCTGGACGGTCGGCTTTCTTGATACCACTGTCGAAACCAATGCAAGGCGCATGGCCCGCAGCTGGAATCGAACCCGGCATCCCGGCATTACGAAGCGTTCGCATCGACTTAGCCACAGAGCCGACACCTTTAGGCTGGCAGGCGGATAATCAACAAATAGTACTAAAATGGGAATTAACGTGAACGAACGAACAAACTTTATTTTCAAAGTGTCACAAACTGGGCACGCAGGCCCTTCTTACATTCGGCCCTTCCAAACACCCATCTTTCGCACAGGCGCTGTATTTTACTAATAAAGCCTGTCATGATCATATGATTTTATGCATATTATGAATATCATAAAAGAACACAAAAGCATGGGTTCTCAAATGTATGCTAAACCCCCGCGCGCATGCATCCACCCACATCGACACACCCACATACACATGCTCACCCACTCACTTACACACATATCTATGCATGCATGCATGTATGCATACATACATAAGTACGAAGATACATACATACGAACATGCATATTACATACCGACATACATACATAATATACATATATAAGGGATTGACGGCGTGATGCTGACCACATCACCCATCTTGTGCCGTTGGTCTATAAAAATATAGGTCTAGCCCTATATGCCCTATACGCCTAAAGGCGTGGAAAGGGTCCTTTACTTTTACTTTTTTTTATAAGGGATTGAGAAAGAGAGGTTTCCAGAAGAAAGAAAAAACTCCTAAAAAGAACGGTAATGAGAGATTGCAAAGGTGATGGCCTGAACTCTGTCCTGGACATGGAAGGGACTGCACAGAAGAGAACGCAATGAAGAAAATGGATGTAGACTCACAAGAGCACAGTAAAAGTAAGGCACCATTCTCCACGCCTTTACGCGTATAGGGCATATAGAGCTAGGCCTATATTTTTATAGGCCAATTGACCCAAGATGGGTGATGTGGTCAGCATCATGCCGGCTGCCTTTATTTCCCAGGACTGCACCTGGTACCCACTCAAGGCTGGGTCTACCTGGGAAGCAAGTTCATTTTTGGAGAAAAAAAATCCCGGCTTTGTCAGGGAGCGAACCCAAAACCTTCCTTTCCGCAGGCGAGAGTCTAGCTGCTACGCCACGGCGACTCCCATAAGAGGATAGTGATGACGATAATTGTTTTAACAGAGTCGCTGATTCCCCAGCAATCGTCCCATCTCTGCACAACAATCAGATTTTTTCATTTTGAACACGAAACTAAATGATGGCTTAGCCTCAACGACCAGGAAGGGCGTAATTTTTCTCACAATTCTTCTCGCTTTCTTTCGCTGCAAAGAAGAATGTAATTACATTGTGCAAACAATAAGTAAGTAAAGCTACAAGCGACGAACAGACAAAAAATAAAAAATAGAGATAAGTGGTTCTTCTTCTCATGGACGTTCATGTCATGTGGAGTTGACTGTCATATCTATCCGCAACCTTCTGTCTCTCATGTACTCGCAATCAATTCTGACTCAGATGATCTTCCATACCATGATTTAAAAAACTGTCCAACATCCTCTACCTCTCCTTGTCAGTCTTCCTCTTCCCCCACTCCCCGCCCTTCCCCACCATACTGTTTTTTTTCCCCACCAACGCCACGATGTACTCCAGTCGTCTTGATGTCATAACATCTTTCAAGACATTTCCTCACCCCTTTTGTCTGTTCAGGGTATTCTCATCGTTTGACTATAAAACCACATCACAGCAGTTTCCAAATTTGTTTTCACTAATCGTGCAACTGTCCATTATTTACTGCACATCCGGCTAGCATTTATATAGATCTGGAAAATTCCCTTTCTCCTCTCAGGTGACAAAGAACAATTGCCTAGAATGTTCTTCATTTGATAGATTGCGACCTTTGCTTGAGCTGTATTACAGTATAGATAACTTTAACTGGTCTTTAGGAAATGTACTTCTAGCACCATATATCCGCTGCAACATTACTGTTGAAATGTTCCTTTACCTTTCAAAATATATTTCAATAAATAAACGCAAAATGTTGGGCATTGCTCTATGAAATCGCCTTGTGGTTTCCGGGGCTCCATTGTGTGTGTGTACGTGTGTGTGGGGGGGGGGGGGGGCGCAGAAGGAGTCGGGGAAATAGACTATTTGCCATCATAATAAGCGTGTCGCAACACTCGACCAATTAGGGGTGTCTCCTTCAAAGCCGGAGTGCATCTGCCTGACAGGGCAACATATAAATAAACCAGATCAATAAAACGGATGTGCAAGTACAACTCAAGATCATGAAGAAGACTAAAATCCACCGGAGTTGACAGTTGGTGAACATGAAATAGAAGATTTGACTGTCATGTCGTAAAAGGGTAACTAATTAAGGATTTGCAGAAGTCGGATGTACTGGGACACAAGAAGAATATGTCAACACAACATGCCTACCGCCTTCTAAAAGGTGAAGAAAGAAGAAGACGTGTCCCGGTGCTGGACCGCGAGACAATCCAAACGTCCATCAGTTGTATGCCTTTGTATGATTTATTTTCAATTGACAAATAAACATTAAATTTATATCTACCAACGATCGTCTCTTAGTTGCTTTTATGTGTTTCGTTCATTGTTATATTCATTTTTGACCTAAAAGACGACATGGGACTTATTTTTATGGGATTACTTTTTTTAATCAATTAAAAAAAATTATTTTGGTAGCAAATTTTTTTCTTTTCTGAGATAAGTAATGCTAAAACCTAGAAAAGTCAGAAAAACGTACAAAGCCTGAGTACTTGAAAAGTCATAAGTTACAAGAACACGACAGAACACTAGGACACGAAAGAAAACTGAAATACGACAGAATAATAGAACACGATAGAAAACTAAAACCCGACAGAACACTAGAACAGGACAGAACATTGAAACAGGCCAAAACACAAGAACACGATAGAACATTGAAACAGAGCAGAACACTAGAATACTACAGAAACCTAAACCTTGTCAGAACACTAGAAGATGAAAGAACACTGAAGCAGGACAGAACACTAGAATATAACAGAACCTTAGAACACTACTACAGAAAACATTACAGGAACATTAGAAAAGGACAAAACTAGAACAAGTCGGAATACTCCAGGACACTAGAACACGACAAAACACCATCTATATTAATAAAAATGTTAATTTTCCGGTGTCGTTAGCTCTAAACTCGGAAACTACTGAACCGTTTGATTTCAAATTTTCCCACAACGTTGCCTCTGACTCAAAGCGTAATTTATTTTGTCATAAAATCGCACAAACCATGAACGACGTAGCTCCAGCAACGGTCAAATCATTATTTGTTTCGTTGCCCGCCAGGATTTACTTTTAATGAGTTGGCCACCTTTGACTGTCCAACACCGACCTTCACATTATTAATAATACTTTCATTTCTACTAATGTTTGAGTATTCAGTAGCGTAGTTACTCGGGTGATAAGGGTTCGATTCCCCCTGGGTCATATATTTTTTTAGGGCCCTTAACTGTGTGGCTGCCACGTTTTGTTGTGGTTTATAGCTAAGCTGCAGTATCTACCCATTTTTTTCCGCTCGACTTTGGGGTTTGCAGCTAGCCTGCGATAGCGGCGACGTGATGCTCAATGTTCATGTCACGGGTAATATTCGTTCGCCCTTGAGAGGGCGGTTGGCACGTTGTGTTGTGGTTTACAGCTAGGCTGCGATATCTGACCTAAAGTCTTCAGTCTTAGGTAGTAGAGTTGTAAGTATTCCGCCCTTCACGTGTATTACGAGTGTTCGATTTCACGCTGGGTACTAATTTTTCTTTTTACCCCAAAGAGGCGATTGGCACGTTGTGTTGTGGCACACAGCTAAGTTGCGACATCTGCTCCTTACGCCCAAAGACATCCGATTTAAATACAGTCCACATTAGGCCTCCCCCCTCCCCCCTGAAGCTTTACTCGATCAAAAACTATTCGTTAAGGACAGAAACTGTTAACTAAGAAGGCTTACGGTTCAGTTTGGTTAGGGTCGACACGAATGCCAAGGTTAATTAAACATCGTCACTTCGGAGAGGGAGAGATGACGAGTGCGGGTTTTTGGTTCTGCTATTTGTGAGTATAGTGTACTTTTTTTTATTTAATATCACGGAATATTACTGTGGGTTTCATCAGTGGTTAGGTAATGGAGTTTTATGTCGGGGACACACTTAAACTGAACAGTCCGTGGCGACAGCATGCGGCGCCAACTCCTCTGGCTACAACGACCTATACAGACAGTAGTTACCGTTTTGTGTTGTTGATGTATGTTGTGACGGTGGTGATGGTAGTGGTAGCAGTAGTACTGGTACTCGATGGGTTATTTAGTAGCTGTTACACTGGCCACATTAACTTCTCAGTACAGATTAATGCTACCCATTTTTGTCTGGGTGGACACGAATGCCAAGCTCAATTTAACAACAATATTTCGTCTTGCCTATACTTAGAGGATGATATCATTGTCACGGGGGGGGGGGGGGGGGGGGGGGGTGTTGAGATGGGTTGATGCCAGACACTGTTAACTGAGAGAGCTTAAAACATTTTTTTTTAATTTCTCATTTCTTTACTATTTCTATTTTAACAATGTCGCCA